ACATTTAAAAACTCTGTGTGACCAAAACGGGCCAAAACGGTCACACACAGTCTTTAAATGTATTTAATATTTGTTTTAAATAACTTTATTTAGTTGGCCAGTGTTAGCACAAAAGGCGATGTGACTGAGTGGTATTTTGTTAAGACGACAGCTGTATTACATTCGTCACGTTTTTGTTGCACGGGTCATTTCGGCTTTTAAAATCTTAAAGAATGTTTATTTATTTATCATCCATATGTCCTGATAGGGGCATTATGTGTCGTAATTCGAACCTTGTACCAATCGGGACTTGAATGTTCGGTGTTTCCGCTGACATGTACATACCGAGGCCGCCATGTTCGTGGATTTTCTCAAGTGTGTGCTTCCTATTGTCGAAAACGGCGAGATTTGATATGTGTACAGCTTACATTGCTAGGGTCACATGAGACATTCCCAATACTTTGTGTCGGTGCGGTACTGAAAGCTTTGTCAATTCGATGCAGCGATAGCGCTGTTCTTGTCTACTCGTTTAAACCTATTTTTCAAATTGTCTATATGTAGGGAAAAGAATTGGAATGGGAGACAACTATGAGGGCAATGGTTTATTGGAAAATTGAGGATTTCGAAAATCTTCAAAACAAAAAGTATATCGGGAAAAAAAAATGTACAGTTTTTGGGTTTAAATATGAACTTTCTAACGAATCACGAACAGAATTTAAAGGTGCTGGTCGGGGAAAAAAATTCATATTTGCTAAAATGGCACACATGTTTAAAAAACCTTCTTATGAAATATGCCGATTCAAATTTTGCTAAAATTCACTCCCTAAGGGTAAAAATTATAATTATATTAAAGAAATCCTAAATCGTCACCTAACAGTCTAAAACTCTCAATTGACCCAGATCAGTGATGTAATTTTACCGCATGCGCGTCATCAACACTGCCAAATGTAAAAATCGCGGCGAAAGAAAAAGATGCATGCAAAAGTCATGACAGGCACGAGGTATCAAAACCGTTATATATATAACAACAACATATAGGTAGGAATACTACCTTCGCATCATACATGACCCTTGAAAACAATTATTTACGTACATTAATAGTATTGCTGTCCACTAGTTGACATGGCTGATAGACGGCGTGCTATTGTTATTATCTTCACTGCCTCATCACTTTCGAAACAACCACGTGACATACATAAAAAGATCTGCGCTAAATTTACGCGGGGCTTCCCCGAGATTTCAGTGGTCAAAACTGGACATTGCAAGCAGAACTCGACCATCATATTGCCATGGTATAACTGTTGGAGACAAGAGAACGCATTTAGACCCATTTATTTTGTATTTTTCCCCGACCAGCCCCTTTAACCAGAGAGTTAACAGCTTGAAACAAGATGAGAACTTTTTTCTTTTCTTTTTGAAATTGACATTAACCCGCTTCCAAATTGTTCCTATTGGACTTTTATTTTGTTTTTAACATATTGTATTGGCATGCAAATGGATTGGGAACAGGTTATATTACAAGCATATCTATACAATATGATAAAATGGCAGAACTAATTGATATACATATACACATTTTTTTCTATTTGCTACTTTTTGATTCGTTTATTCTTTTTTTTTCTTTCTCTTTTTAGTTGTTCAAGTTTCTTTTACTAACAAGGCCAAGTACGTGTAACACGTGTAACACGTGTAACACATGTAACACGTGTAACACATGTAACACGTGTAACACATGTAACACGTGTAACACCTATAACACGTGTAACACATGTAACACATGTAACACGTGTAACACATGTAACACATGTAACACCTGTAACACCTGTAACACGTGTAACACATGTAACACGTGTAACACATGTAACACATGTAACACATGTAACACATGTAACACATGTAACACGTGTAACACATGTAACACATGTAACACATGTAACACATGTAACACGTGTAACACATGTAACACATGTAACACATGTAACACATGTAACACGTGTAACACATGTAACACATGTAACACATGTAACACATGTAACACGTGTAACACATGTAACACATGTAACACATGTAACACATGTAACACGTGTAACACGTGTAACACATGTAACACATTATCAGCAGAGAAAATAGCATTTCCTCCTACACGTCATCATTATCATAAAAACAGTAATATCTTCATTATCATTATTGGAGACAGTCAACGAATACACTTTCCTCGTCCTCCTCCTCCTTCCTCGTCCTCCTCCTCCTCATAGTTGTCGCCGTCCTACTTATTCGTATTCCCTCATTTTAACAACAGACAGCGTCTGTATTGGACGTCTTCCATTCTTATATTTGATCGGGATGCACATTGGCTAGTGCACAGGCTCTTCCTAAAGACAGTCGGGGTTTGATTTCCCGACTTGGAGTGGTTCGGGTTCTGGTTCTGGTCGGTAATCAGAAACGTCCTATATTGGATATCAGTGATACACTGTAATACCGTTTAGAACTTGGTCCCTTATTGTTTTAGATTAGACAAACTTTAAATTTTATCTCAGATTACGACTGACGGTGATGCGGGTGTTGTACTTTAAGTACACATGCACTGAAGAGACATGTGGAGTGAAAGTGTGTCGTCGGTAAAATACCGTTCTCACGAGAACCATAATTCTCGCCCTTTGAATAAATCCCCTGAAAAGAAAATTGAAATATGTATCGTTATCTGTCTCATTAAATACGTGACATTCTAAGATATGTTACTTAATATGACCTACTTGTGGGTTTACAGCCAATTGAAGGGTAGTTTCTACACTGACAAAGAGCTTGGCGTACTCTGATGCTATGTAACGTCCATGTTTAGCCGTATCAAATAAATGTTTGTCACAGTCAAACTGTACTTTAACTTAACATGTGGTGTAAGAGTACAGAAAAACATGTGTATTTCCATCAAATGACTCATTAATAGATATTTTGGGTAAACCTTGACACGGTAATATAAGGTAAAGGGTATTAACAAGTAGAACTATATCATCACATCCGCTATGTTGCCACCCATTTAATAGAACTGCATTTGTTATAAATTTGATAATTAAAATTAAAAAAGAAACAAACAAAAACTGCAGGATTCAAATTTATTGACAAAAGAAAAAAAGATTCATAACTTGACAGGGGAGGTTACTTTTGGCTTAAATGTCTCCTTTTGGCTCCGTCATAATGGACTTTTTATCATTTTAAGCGCAACCAGTTGGACATCATAAATAAGTAATGAAATACAATCAAGACATCTCCAAAACCTAAAGAGCTTACAACGATGTATATTACAGCGAAAGATACAGCGAAAGCGAAAGATCATCTTATATAAGGGAGAGTACGACGAGTATATCGCTGAATCAGTAGTCTCGTTCAACCAGACGCTTGATCACTTGCAATTTGCGCAGACAACAAGAGTCTGAGTAAACGAGACTACTGAAGCAGTAGTTCTCTTCACCTTAATTCAAGGTTTTGTTTTAAGTATCCTATCTTGTGTTTTGTATTTAGAACTTCTTTGTATATGTACCACCATCCGCTTAACCACCAAATTCTTTAAACAACTACTTAAGTAGGTCATCCTACACTTACTGAATGTTTCATGATGGGTACAGAATTAAATTCACAGACAACGTATTGCCACCAGGCACAGTATTTCAGGAATGATTGATTGATTGATAAGTTTTACGTCCTCTTCACTACCGAGTAGTTCGGTTATCCTGCAGACCAAATTTCAGGAATAGACATACAATGTCTATATACCCTATGCGAGCCCCTATTGCATCTGTAAAACCAAAGATTTCATTGGCTTTCAATTTAATATCGATATGATGTTCTTTTCTCAATAAATCTTTTCTATTATCATGGAAATGCTTGTATAGACAACAATGGACGGCGATCGATTTAATGAGCACTGGCCCGGATGTTCTAACGAGAAAACAAAACGGAGTGATGAAGTGTTTCCGGTCCAGTTAGCGTAAGTCTGGCGCATGACAAACATGATGGGAGATGACTTCCGGTTTCGTAAAATAGAATCGAGACAGACTTGTCAGGGCAGCAATTAAGATATCTGCAAAAGCAGGACATTAATTCGAGAAAGACGTTAAGGGACATAGAATAGTCGCGCTTTAGACTACATCCGGTTTTTGTGAACTCATGCAAGTACTGCTGTAACGTGAACTATATATAGTGACAACTGTCAGTATTTGAGACATCGTTTTTGTTAGATGTTTTAAAACCCCAAAGTCTGGGAAATCTGTTATCGTTATTAATATTTCAAATCATGACAAAACATCTGTCTGTGCTTAGAAAACGTATACTGTATTTGTGGATGGTTGTCGGAATGGGAAGCAAGAACAGTACATACATCTGTATTTATCTCCGTCTGGAATACTTTTATTATCGCTCTTGATTTTATCAAAATTTTCTGATAAATCAAAGCGTTTTTATTGTACATATCAGTAACAACATCACTTTCAAATATGAATAACACGTTTTAATTTGTAGCTGGGATCGTAATACATGTACATGCCATCAGACAGAGCTCACAATGCTATCGAAGCAAGCTCAACAAGACCTTATTTTCGATCAGTGGCTAAACGGAAGTTTCAATGGAGATTGCGTAGTCAAAATGTACCCAAATACTGGATTTCAACCTATCAGAAGTAACTGAACGGTGTCAATGTTGTTCAAAGACTAAACGGAAATTTCAACAGAGTTCACTGTGCCAGAATTTACATACAAATACATAGGGTTTGATTGAAATCGGACAATATCTAGATTTTGAATCATTTTATAGCGATCATATTCAAGACAAAAATCAACTTAGTTTTTCACAGGTCAAAACGTTTTATAAATCTATGATATGGAAACATTCATATTTTTTTTCTATTTTCATATCAATCAACATGACCCACATAGACAGTTTACAATTAAATTTAAGCAGGCAAATATTTTCTTTCTATTTTGAAATTTCCCTTTCCTGATAAAACCATTCTTGATCCGCCAACCCCTAATTACTTTTTTGGGATGGACATGTCGAAGTGGATTGTCATTAGTATCACCTCATATCCTAGTGTTGTCATTAGTATCACCTCATCTCCTACTGTTGTCATTAGTACCACCTCATCTCCTATTGTTGTCATTAGTATCACCTCATCTCCTACTGTTGTCATTAGTACCACCTCATTTCCTAATGTTGTCATTAGTATCACATCATATCCTATGGTTGTCATTAGTACCACCTCATATCCTACTGTTGTCATTAGTACCACCTCATATCCTAATGTTGTCATTAGTATCACCTCATATCCTACTGTTGTCATTAGTATCACCTCATATTCTATTGTTGTCATTAATATCACCTCATATCCTACTGTTGTCATTAGTACCACCTCATATCCTAATGTTGTCATTAGTATCACCTCATATCCTACTGTTGTCATTAGTGTCACCTCATATCCTACTGTTGTCATTAGTGTCACCTCAAATCCTACTGTTGTCATTGGTATCACCCCAAATCCTACTGTTGTCATTGGTATCACCTCATATCCTATTGTTGTCATTGGTATCACCTCATATCCTACTGTTGTCATTAGTACCAACTCATATCCTACTGTTGTCATTAGTATCACCTCATATCCTACTGCTGTCATTAGTATCACCTCAAATCCTACTGTTGTCATTGGTATCACCTCAAATCCTACTGTTTTCATTAGTATCACCTCATATCCTATGGTTGTCATTAGTATCACCTCATATCCTACTGTTGTCATTGGTAACACCTCATATCCTACTGTTGTCATTGGTATCACCTCATATCATATTGTTGTCATTGGTATCACCTCATATCATCTTGTTGTCATTGGTATCACCTCATATCCTATTGTTGTCACTAGTACCACCTCATATCCTACTGTTGTCATTAGTACCACCTCATATCCTACTGTTGTCATTAGTATCACTTCATATCCTACTGTTGTCATTAGTATCACCTCATGTCCTATGGTTGTCATTTGTATCACCTCATATCCTACTGTTGTAATAAGTATCACCTCATATCCTATTGTTGCCATTAGTATCACCTCATATCCTATGGTTGACATATGTATCACCTCATATCCTACTATTGTCATTAGTATCACCTCATGTCCTATGGTTGTCATTAGTACCACCTCATATCCTATTGTTGTCATTAACATCACCTAATATCCTATTGTTGTCATTAGTATCACCTTATATCCTATGGTTGTCATTAGTACCACCTCATATCCTACTGTTGTCATTAGTATCACCTCATATCCTACTGTTGTCATTAGTATCACCTCATATCCTAATGTTGTCATTAGTGTCACCTCATATCCTATAGTTGTCATTAGTATCACCTCATATCCTATGGTTGTCATTAGTATCACCTCATATCCTACTGTTGTCATTAGTACCACCTCATATCCTACTGTTTTCATTAGTATCACCTCATATCCTACTGTTGTCATAAGTACCACCTCATATCCTACTGTTGTCATTAGTGTCACCTCATATCCTACTGTTGTCATTAGTATCACCTCATATCCTATGGTTGTCATTAGTATTACCTTATATCCTATTGTTGACATTAGTACCACCTCATATCCTATTGTTGTCATTAGTATTACCTCATATCCTATTGTTGTCATTAGTAACACCTTATATCCTATTGTTGACATTAGTATCACCTCATATCCTACTGTTGACATATGTATCACCTCATATCCTACTATTCTCATTAGTATCACCTCATATCCTACTATTGTCATTAGTATCACCTCATAACCTACTATGTCGCCCCACATCTTACAGTTGACGCAATTCATGGTAAATGTCTAGAAAGCCAATGTTATTATGACCCCATTGAAGTGTATAGTAACATTTTTAAGTGCTCTTTTTCTGATGCACCTTAATTAACCTAACTTCAGTTTTTTCCCCCTATTTTACATTGGGACAACGCAGTAGAAAGGTCCTACATGTAGCAACAACATGGCAGCAAATCAAACAAAATATAGTTCCATTTTCAAAATTTAATTTTGTAGAATTTATACAAGTCGAATATTATCATCATATTCTTAACACATCACACCAATCCAATCATGTGTAATGTTAATTCATATCAGAATAACAAAATTACATCAAGGGCTGTTTCACGGCGGACATGAACCAAGTACGCCCTGTGCTACGTCATTGTAGTGTATCAATACGCGGTGATAAGGTCACCGGTGTTATGCAAAAATTAAAGTCATGTTTGTTAATGAGTCGAGGCATACAGAATGTAAATATTTAAGATCTGCTCCTACAGTTTGCATTAGAAGAATTTCGTATCCGATTGTTGGTTCATTGCAGTAAATTACTTGATGAGGTTGTCTATACACAAGTATAAATAGAATATGTGATATTAACAAACTGCACTGGTGCTTTCTCTTATTAAGTTACAAAGACTGGGTTCACAACGGGGAATTAAATTACTTATTAAATCTATAGTGAATTTTTACTGTTAATTTTCCACGGCAACCTTTCGGGCAGGCTGATAGAATTAGTTGGATTGATAGTGTTTCTATTTACATAAGGCTAGCACAACCCATATCGGATCGAAGGGGAGTCATTATTCAGTTAATCGTGACGAGCGTCTTCTTAATTAGACGAATTGAAGAAAACTTTATTCAATGTTTTTTTCGTTATGGATCTTAAGCAGTTTCCATTGGATCAGCAGACGTGGACATTATTAACAGATAGCCTGTTACAGGGCAGGTTTAGTTGTTGTCAGATTGACTGTAACACAGGGACTTGATAATTTGCTAAAGCTATATGTATATATTGACCTAAATTGACGTTTTCAGCGAACCTTTTGAACTTGATAATGTATTACCTGGACAGCTTGGTGTACTTACAGAAAATAATTAGGATGAGATTGAAATGGCAAAGGCTTTGTTAATTTTCAATTACTGAAGAAATAAAACCGTTGAATTCTCTGAAATAAGTTTGTCACTAGCGCCTACTTGCTGAGTTAATTTTCATTCATAAAATCAGAACAGTCACTTTTGTTATTTTTATTCGGTATAATAAACACATTAATGACACCATATCGGTGTGACATGAGGATTTGTCTCCCCTCTGTCTCGGGGTGACAAATCCTCATGTCACACCAATAAGGGGTCATTGATTGTTTATCATTGGAGATCAGGGAATATCATGAAAAAGATAAGTGGAGGTGATAAAGGCTAATTGATAACAATGGAAGTAATAAAAGCCAGGGTCCAGAACAATCAGGGGAGATAATAAACGTTATTATATATATAAATATATCAGGGGAAGTAATTAAGGTCAAGATATTCAGGAGAGGTAATGAGGTTAATTAATATACTGCATAAATCAGGGGAAGTAATTAAGATCAAGATAGTCAGGGGATGTAATGAGGGCTAATATACTGCATAAAGCAGGGGAAGTAATTCAAGTCAAAAGAAATTAGGGTAGGAACACATAATATACAGGAGACGTGGGGAAGGTAAGTAATGTCAATGTTAAGGTAAAGCTGAAGACAACAGGGACTAGAATTCAGTTTTGGGCTGACAAAGTCAGAGAGGAAAGTGGCGGTACCATGTCAGAACACATTCCGCGTGGCGGTTCCGTCAGGCAGACAAGCCCCTTATTGGGTGGAGTTATCATGTCAGCAAGATGTATGTCTTGGTATACGTTCCAATGCTTCTGAATCTGTGCTACCTGTCTGAGTAGATTAATCGTTTGTAATGTACCGTATTTCCAATGGTTGAGCACCGATATGGCACTGATAAAGCTCGAAATATGTCCCAGACTTCGAAATAAGATCGATAGCGCTAAAACAAGCCATTTCCAGTATATATAAATAAACGTTTTCTGCATTTAAGATAAACACACTATGATATTTGTCAAATGTCAACAGGCGGGAACGTTCGGAAGGACTTGTTCAGTTATAATGTACGTAGATATTTACACTCAGTCTAGCGTGACACTATGCTAATGGCGCTAACATGTCAGCATCGTTTTGTTTTTCTCTTCTCGTTTCATTAAATTGCTGATTATTAAAAAAAAAAAACTATTTATTTTTCGACTAAATCGCCAGGTGACTAAGAGGGGTTTATCTGTAGGCATGTGCACGTGTCCAATATTAAACTAATCTTAACCAACGGTTGCGGTTAAAAAATCGGAAAAATAATAAATAGACAAAAACTATTTCCTTCCCATTATAGACCTTCATATTTCATCAGTAGTCCCTCGAAAAAGATTTAATTGTCCATGTCTAATTGAAAAACACTAGAGAATGCCTCCGAACATTTTCGTTGATGCAGTTTCTCCCCTTAAGCTCATTATGGATAAACCTGGCACATGTGGTTCCGGTGACGTAGTTGTAAGAACGAGTATAATGATCGGATCCTGGTCGGGCCTCATTGCATTTCTTCGACAACAAAACTGTTGTAGACTTTATCTGTTTATTTCGTGTTTATATTATTTTTATAAAAGTTCCGTTGAATTTCTTTTCAGAAAGGATATATCATTCAAGTTATAGACATGCCGAGGAAAAGTGTCCAACTCATACTAAGATTGTTTGATTCGAGTATTAATCAGAGCATTAATTATAAATTATCTTCATATCAATGTGTCTGATTGCATGATGCTGGTTACATGAGGAGGTAATACAAAATCATGTCGCCCTCACGCTCAAATTTCACTGATAATCTATGCTATTGTGCTAAAGTTTTGATTTTTTTCCCCGGCATAATGTAAAATGTTCATTGCCCTTACAGTAGGGTGTCACACCTGCCCTTGCAGTAGGGAATCGCAAGGACTAAGAATTGCCCTTGCAGTAGGGAATCACATTTTTACTTGCAGTACGGACTAAAAATTGCCCTTGCAGGAGGGAATCACAACTGCCCTTGCAGGAGGAAATCACAATTGTCCTTGCAGTAGGGAATCACATGTGTACTTGCAGTAGGGAATCACAATTGTACTTGCAGTAGGGAATCACAATTGTACTTGCAGGAAGGAATCGTAATTGAACTTGCTGTAGGGAATCACAATTGTACTTGCAGTAGGGAATCACAATTGCCCTTGCAGTTGTCCTTGCAGTAGGGAATCACATTTTTACTTGCAGTACGGTCTAAAAATTGCCCTTGCAGGAGGGAATCACATTTTTACTTGCAGTACGGTCTAAAAATTGCCCTTGCAGGAGGGAATCGCAATTGCCCTTGCAGTAGGGGATCACAATTGCCCTTGCAGTAGGGAATCGCAATTGCCCTTGCAGAAGGGAATCCGATTGCCCTTGCAGTAAGGAATCACAATTGTACTTGCAGTAGGGAATCGTTATTGTACTTGCAGTAGGGAATCACAATTGTACTTGCAGTAGGGAATCGCAATTGTACTTGCAGTAGGGAATCATAATTGTTCTTGCAGTAGGGGATCACAATTGTACTTGCAGTAGGGAATCACAATTGCCCTTGTTGTAGGGAATCACAATTGCCCTTGTTGTAGGGAATCACAATTGCCCTTGTTGTAGGGAATCACAATTGCCCTTGCAGTAGGGAATCGCAATTGTCCGTGCAGAAGGGAATCGCAATTGAACTTGCAGTAGGGAATCATAATTGCCCTTTCAGTAGGGGATTGCAATTTCCCTTGCAGAAGTAAATCACAATTGTCCGTGCAGTAGGGAATCGCAATTGCCCTTGCAGAAGGGAATCCGATTGCACTTGCAGTAAGGAATCACAATTGTACTTGCAGTAGGGAATCGTTATTGTACATGCAG